ATCAATTCATGTGAATATGACTGAAAATTTTCATTTTTTTCTGAAAAGTTGGAGTCTATTTACTTGTGACCACACTGTGTTCACTATATTCAAATTACAAAGAGCTTTAAAAGACTAAAATATATTTTGAAGATTATACTTATTTTGTTTTTACTTTTTGATAGTATATTCAATTGAGTAAAATGAAAGTTTAACTACTTAGAAAAATCATATTTACATACAATTATTGTTTCATTTACTAACATTTTAACCCTTTTTAATTATAAAACAAAATTTAAAACCAAAAAAGGCATACCTGCAATGCTGCTCGTGTAGCTGTTTCAAACACTTCCCTAACTCCATCCTTAGTTTTAGCAGAGCATTCTAAATATCCATAAGCATTGATTTTCTCTGCCATTCCTCGACCCTCCTCAGATGCAACTGGTTTCTGTTTCATCTTGGCTAATTCTTTTATTGTGTGAGGATCATTCCTGAGGTCCTGCAATAAAATTGTGAAAGGTTAATTTTAAAATCTGGAAACTGAATAATACAGTATTTTCCAATATTTTTTAAAATTCTGCATTATTCAGTCTAAGCAATACTATAAACTGATTTCTATAAACTAAAGTGTTGTCAAAGCTCATAAAAACCTATAATGTTGATTTGTGTATTCTAAACCTTAAAAGAAAGAAATGTATACATCACATTTAGTACACATTGTTTCCATTTTTGATACATTTGAGTCTCTACTACTTCAAGGTTTTCAATGGGCTATGAGAAAACTGAATTCCAGCTTGTTTAGCATTTCTTGATCCCCCTGGCTCATAGGATGCATGTTACACTTCAATAACCTTTTTCATTAGTTTGGATGAAACCTTTATTCATTGAAATACCAAAAGAAAGAAAATAGCTTTTAAAACTACTGAGAAGAGGGTTTAATGCACAACATCTTTACAGAGAATGTATTTGTTGATTAGATGGAATAAACTGAAGAATAATATAGAACAATACATAAGATTTCACTTTACATAAACATTTGAAAGTTTCAGTATTCAGAACATTTTGAATTTTTCATTGAAAACAAAAACTACATATTTAATACACAGGTATGACTTAACTAGCTATACTAAAATTGTAGATTTCATGTAAGTAAGAATGGAAGAAATTCATTACCTTGCATTATTGAACAAAAGAAACTATTTGCTTGTACTGGCAACTTGGGGAGACTATACTTACTAAAATTTGCATGTTTTGCATTAGAAGTGTTAAGTCAGAGTTCTCCATTTCTCCTTCAACACAAATTTCCAGTTTAAATACATAAAAACATTGGAAAAACAGCTGTAGTATGTCAGAGAATAAAATTCCACACTAACTATAATGAACTGTAAAATTTCTGTGGATTTTTAAGGACAACAAGCTATGTTAACAAAATTCAATGATTTGTGTGTTTGAACCCTGATTTAGACTTGTATGTGATACATATATAAAAATACAAATGAAAACAAAGAAAACTTATAATATTAAAATCACATCATAAAAACAAATGCTAATATTATGCATTTTATGTCTAGCTCATAAGCTACATTAAAGTTATGGTGTTTTAATATTACACTAATAACATGTGAATTGTCTTTTTAACAAACAAATCAGCCACACAAAATAAGACTTTACACAGGTTTGCAGAGAAATGATTAAAAAATCAGAACTAACTTTTTACACATAGATACATAAAAATTGTGATTTTGAAAAAGATTTCGAACCAATGGATTTGCTATAAACCTTGCTCTCTTAAAAAAGGATAAATGAATAAAGTAACATTCTAAAGGTGCTTATAGTTTTATATATATATTCTGTACGTAGATCAAATTATTTAAAAATGTTATAAGAAAAAGACAATGCTAATATATTTGTAAAAAATTAGGGAACCATATTTAGAAGGTTCAAATGATAATTCTTCACATATATCAAAAAGCTCTATACTAAAAATGCAAAAACTTATATCTGTTCTTTTTTTTTAAATTCTATTTGAATATTTTATTTCAAATTCATTGACAGTCACTAATATTTAAAAACTGCTTTGAAAAATTTACTATTAGAAATGAGCAATCATTTAGTACTGGTTTATTTATTTCTGTTCTTTACTATTATTACACAAAACTTATCATTTAACTTCAAAGATGATCGTGTGTCTGCTAAGTTTACACAGGTTACAGTTCTTAAGTAGTGCTTTGCTTTCCTCTTATAGGCAAATATTTGACTAATGCAACTTCTTAACTCTCACTACAGGCTCGGACAAAACAGTCAAGCTTGTGATCCCATATTGTCCTTTATAGTTTCCATACTATAACTTATAATTAGTTTTGTGTATATTCACAAAATTTTGCAAGCTTTCAATAATCATTAATACAAAATTACCATTATTATCTAATCATAAACCAGCAATAAATTGAAAAGGAATATTCAATTACAACAATACCAAATAAGTTACAATATATGTAGAGTTATCACTAAGATAATTAGTCCCATTGCAAATCAGGAATATTTGACTAAAATATGTGGTTACACTATACATAAGTCAACAAGCAGTCCAAAGTATTTAATGACCTTTATAGTTTCCATACTATAACTTCTGATTTGTTTTATGTATCTCCAAATAAATTCACAAGCTTTCTATAGTCATTAAGTCATTTGTAAACAAAAAATCAGAATTTTTAATGAGGTATTTTCACTACAAATTTCTCCATGAATATATGGAGTGAAAGTGTTGAATGCTCCCAGTGCAAAGGGATTTTCATGTTAAGATTAATAATACTTTTCTTCATCTGAAAAAGCTCAAGTTTCATTTGTGTAATCTCTAAAACCTCCTAAATAATTATAATTATTTTTCATTAAAACTTTATATATTATCTGTTATTTTCTCTACCCAAACTCTATAAAAGGTTGGTCAATTTAACTGACCTAGTAACCACCAAAAGAAAGAAAAAGAAAATACATCTAAACTACCCTTTTTTCTTTTTTTAGAATGACTTCAAATTGTAACAGTATACATCTATTTAATTTCAATTTTATTGTTCTATTGCCCTTTGAACTGTATCTAACTAATATTCACATTATCAAATTTGCAAATTACTTGGGGAATGAGTAACTTCCATTACATTATCAAATTACATAACACACGAGATACTCACGAGTGTATTCCCAGAACATTTATCATTATTATCTGTATTTTATCAATATAACCTTACCTAACCTAAAAGATTTCAAATTTTTATATTTTAGTTTCTTTTATAATAATAAGTAAAGAATATACATGAAAAACAAGAAATAAAGTACTTACCAGGGTCTTCTTTCTTTTTTTGCTGTTGACATGTAACCCTACTTTTTTTTTATACCTATGACACTACTGAATTAAATAATTTTCCAATTAAATCAATAATGCACCAAAGAACATAGAATAATAACAACCAAAAAGTAGACAAAGTCCTATAACTATCACAATTTTTCTGGCTTTCTAACTATGCAACAAGAGCTGTCAGAAATTCAGCTAAACTCATCTATGTGTTTCCTCTGGGAATAAAGTTTGAACTGGAAGTGAAATAGACAATTCTCTGAACAGGAAACAACATAATATAATACGTCATTTGAAATATTAAAACACTGGCTTTCTATTGGTTATAAATAATGTAGTATTGAAAATCAGAGATAACTATTGGGAATTTCTGAAAGAAGGGGATTGGACAGATGGGCATGGCAAGGTGGGTCTGATTTTCTATTTTATGGCTCTGTAACAAAATAAAATTGACAGCTATAAAAGTTATGCTTTGCTGGAGCAACAACAAAATTATATTGAGTAATTTACTTTCAGTTTTGTACTTCTCAGAAGGATGGTAAATAAATTAGATAAGAGAGAAGATCTAGAGAGCAAATGTCAATTCTCATACTAGGGAAACTGAGGATTTTTAAAAATATTTCCTTATAAAATGAAGAACATAAAACTTATATAATATTAAAATTTGAATTATTAGCTATGATTGTATGCCAAATCTATTCAAGTATGATAAGAAAGTAGTTTAATTACATTTAGAATGTAACTCACTAATGCACAGAAAAAATATCCATAACAAAAGTGTTAATGAATAATGTAATAGAATCAACTCACAAACACTACTGTGAATATTCTTCTTTATGAGATACCTACATACTTTCTAGTCACAAAAAAAAACTTTTTCATTGATAATTTTATGGTTATTTAAATGAAAATTTGTTTTAACAAAGATGATTGGCACTTTTAACAGAGAAACGTATGTTTTGAAATAAAGTGCTTTAAAGTTTAAGTAGTAAACAAGATCAGTAAAATATGCTTACTGCTCCAAGAACATAAATCTTCCTTGCCTGTTAAGAGCAAACTACTTTTCATTTGTCTAGAGAAGTAGAAGCTGATGACAATGTCTTAACCTTACATATGGTAGTTTTTCTGAATTTATTATATCAAAAAATATCAACCTTACTTAAATGATTTCTTACATCCACAAAACCACCAGTCATTTACATCAGGTCAATAATAAACATCATCATCATTAAATGACTGTAGATATTGCTATCATGTTTATCCTATACATGTTGCAATCCCACGCATACATCAGTTACAAATCAAAGCACAAATAATAACTTTAAAATTTGAATAAAAAGTTTGGGATGGGACAAAACATTTATTTTACCTACCTTTTTGTTCCCTACTAAAATGATAGGCACATTAGGACAAAAATGTCTAACTTCTGGTGTCCATTTCTCAGGAATATTCTCCAAGCTGTCTGGACTGTCAATGCTAAAGCACATGAGAATGACATCAGTGTCGGGATATGACAGAGGTCGAAGACGGTCATAATCTTCCTGTCCTGCTGTATCCCAGAGTGCTAATTCAACCTAACAAAAAACAATAACAACAAGTGCTAAAACGGCAGTAAATCTGTGAAAATAACAGTAGCCCCAAATGCTTACTACTCTCTAATATCATATGACAGTCCTGAAGAAAATACTATCACAAGACTAAAAAACACAATTTTGTCCTTCTTCCATATTTTGGGATAAAAAAAAAAAGTCTTCATATGTGAACATTCTTTATGTATGTTTAAGATACAGCTAAGGTATGTTTCCATAGTTATATCTTATAATTTTCTTATGTCCCTTAGTTGATATGATACTCATAAAAAGGTCTTTGTTTGACTTGCATGGGATTAAGACTACCACTAACAAATTGGATTGGTGACTAAGACAGTTCAATATAATGCTGACTTTTGTGGTTTTACTAATATCATAATACTACCTATCATAAGCTATGGCATTTTGCAAGCATCACATTATCTTATAAATTAAAAGGTCATATACACTACTGTAAAATATTTGATCCAACACTGTAGAGCAACAACCACAAGCTGAGAAGTGAAAATGTTCTGCTTAAACAATAACTTGCAACTTCTAATTAATAACATATCAAACTAAGAAGGGTTTATAGAAAAGCACAGTCACTGTTACAAACAGTAACAAGCAAGAAAGTAAGTTAATTAAAAGTACTGTAAGATACAAAAAATATTAATGTTAAAATTTCCAACCTTTAAAGGGAAGGTATGAAACATTGATATAACCATTTCTTTATCTTACATTTTTCTGCCCATTTCTTAACATTTTAGCAAGCTATAACAGCATTTATTATTTATGCAACTCAGTTTATTATTGATTACAATAATAAGTTCTAAGGATTACTATTCATGTCTTGACACGTTTAAATCAAACTTGGCAATTTTAAAGTGCCTTATATTTCATTTTTATTGAAAGTACTTTTACTTTTTGATATAAAGTGGTGTGTTAATATAATACAGAATGTTTTACAGTTGGAATTACACAAAAGTAAGGCTCAATCTCAAATTGGGCCAATGTGGGTCATAAAGTGTGATGCAATAATGAACAAATTATGGTTTGATCCATTAGTGATAGGTTCCCAAATGCCTGACTATTTTCTCAACTGTCACCCATAAGATTCTAGTGCCAAAGATTTGGCCTCGGCTATTCTGCCATCATAAGACATAGCTTTTTCAAAGATTGCTAGACCTCAGAGGGAAAATTTCATTTGGATGCAACTTTTAAGGAAAAACAAAATGAAGCCTCAACATATTGTTGATAACATTCTTCTGAATTTCACTGACCAGTGCACTTGGTTATACTTTACTGTATCTTTTCATTGCATCTTGATTATGAAACATATTTTCAACTTCATGACAGTCACCTATAAGAAGGTTTCACATATAAGCAACACATTACAGTCAACCAACAGACTCAGTAAAAAAGCACAGCGAAAATAGAGCTATATTTTTTTTAAATATAGGAAGTCATGTAAAAAATTATCAAACACGGCAATTTGTAATTAGTGTCAATGCTTGTCAATATTCAATCAATGAATGTGACCCTAACTTTAAGCTGTATATTTACAATGCACACAAAACTTACATTTTTCATCAAATCAGATTCAAGATATTTATTTCCAACAAGTATTGATTAATCCAAGATTTAGAAAATTTGGTCTATCCATGTGGCATTGCAATTCATTCACTAAAAAAAAAATATGTTAAGATACATTTTGATTAAATACTCCTTACTGCTTATTTTTTGTAGGAAAGTAAGTAATGTAAGGAAGTACAAGTATCAACATTCACATAACTGTATTTAAATGTTAATGATATACAAGAAGTAAAATGTTACACTACCAGATGATATATAAAATAAATTAATAAAACATTTCAAATACTATTGTCATAAAAAAAACTAAATTTCATCAGAGGCACAAAGAGAATCATAAATTTTATTCAGGAGAATGTGGACATGTTGCAGGGTATTACCAAAACAGGTATTCAATATGTTCTCCATCATTCTATCAAATCCATCCCTCAATGAAACTACTGCAAGTACCATCTGTCCTTAACAGTTTTAACTAATCTTTGCAAGATTCTGGACACTAAAACGTTTATTTAACTCACCAAGTTCACATTATTGAAAGAAAATTAATAAAAGTATTGTTAGTTTGCAAAGTTTTTACTACATAACTGTCTTAAATATGATGTTTTCTTCATAACCACCCTGTATACTTTAGCTCAAGGACCACAAGAATGGTAAAAATCGCTCAGAGAACTTCATTCAAATGATACATACTAAATAATACTTTCAATCTAGAATTCTCTGATCACAACCTACAGTTCTGATCAAACACCACCAACAGAACACTATTACTTTGAAATTCCATTATTATTATAATCTGAAATAAATATATTTAAACAACTTTATTTCAGGACATAAAAGGACTAATTTTAAAATAGAGGATTTCTGTAAAAAAGGTAGAAAATGTATGGAAGTGAAAAAACTTGGAAAAAGTAGAACTGATGAAGACCTGATACAGTTGCAAAATGCTATAGGGTTGTTAAAATATTTCTTTTAAAATGACAAACATGCTATGCCCTATTCATGTTAATACAAATACAAAACAGTTTTACCAAGGGAAGTAAGGGACAACTTAAAAACCATATGTATAATATAATGTGGACTTATTTCGGCATAAATCTATAAAGGCTATCTATGCCAAACAGTTATTCTTTTAAAACAACAATGAAACCAAATTACTAGAAAGTAAAAATAAGCCTTTAAAATAAAAAGAGGTCAACAGGTAAGATTTTTTAAGGTTAGTTTGTTCGAAGTTAAGCACAAAGCTAAATAATGGGCTTTCTGTGCTCTGCCCACCACGGGTATCGAAACCCGGTTTCTAGCGTTGTAAGTCCGCAGACATACCGCTGTGCCACTGGGGGACTTTTAAGGTTAGAAAATAAAATAGAAACATCATAGCAATAACAGGAGAGTAAAATGTAGGCAATACTACCTTGCATATCACACTGTTCACACACTGGCTGGTCAGATCCTTGCAAGAGAAAACAACTGGTAAAAATGTTATGGCAGATGCAAGGTCTTGCTTAAAAAACGTTTTTCTACAATCCACATACAAAATAGGTGGTCAATTATCTATGGTGGAATTATTTCTTGAAAAAAACTTGTTACTATTCTGTCACTCATAACAAATCACCTGGCAAGAAGGCTCACACTGATGGAAGACTTCATATAAACACTGAAACGAATAGTATTAATAGCAGAAGATTTGACTATGATGGTGTCAGCTTGCTCATTCTCCCAGTCCAGTGTAGCCAGGAATCCAGTAAAACTGAGAAGATGGAGATGATAAAGCTAAAGTGGCCAGATGTTTATGTACTTCTGAGAGAAGAGGATGAAAGCTAATGTTAAGAGGTTATATGGCTTTCAAGAAGCTGAGTCTGCATAGATAATACAATGATGGTATTGCTAAACTTAGATGTGACTCAGAACAGGTGAGATTGCATATAATCCTGCAACAAACAGAGAAACCTAAAAAGAGATTCTGTGAGCAACAACAGTCACACCAAACCATAACAAAACCCACAGAGTGACCCATCAGAAAATATTGGTATGCAAGATTGGTTCGACAGCAGTTCAGCAAAAATAAGTCAGTATCTCCAGTTACAGGTGTATGTTTTTTTTCTCCTGACTATTCATTTTGAAGACTTCACCACCCTAGATACAGTTTGCCACTGAAAGAAAACACAATAACAGAAGTCCTATGAGCAAGAACAAATATAAAAAAAGAAGCTGAAGAACAAAAAATGACTAGACTAAGCTCTATGTCAAAGGCACACTGCAATGCTTGTCAGTCTTCCATACTTTGCAACAACATATAGTTAAATTACACAAGAGAAAAGTTATACCACAAAGTTCAAAATGATGTCAGAAACAAAATCTCCCCAAAAGTAACAACCCTGTAGCAATTTCCATGCCCTAAACATTTAATGGTAAAATGGGCAGCAAATGCCTAGTTTAGTGTGACACTTGTAGAGAAAGTCTTTCAGGACTAATCTACAAAAGTAGCACAGGTGGAAAGGATTGTGTTTTAAAAGACTTCTGTCTTTCATCTTCAGGTCAGCTTGTACTCATTTTTGCAGGGTCTGATATTCATCTAGGAGGATTGAGGTGGACATGACCTATTTGAGTGGTGGTTCTTGAAATGTGGTTGGGGAAGAAATAATGACTTAACCAATAATAACCATAAACTGCTGACTACTAGGCCTCCTACATGAGAGAAACTGGAGCATGAAGACTGTATGAGACTGATGAAAACATGGAATCCTGCCCTGGCAGAGCAAGTCATATTAACTGGACATAAAACAAACTGGAACAATTAGATACATCAACTCAAATAATTCTGGAAGATAGGAAAAATCAGAGAATCTTCCTATATCAACACAATGAAACCATCATTTAACAAAAACTCAGGGCCTGGATATCAGTAATTTGTGGTTACCCTTGGTCAAATCATCACTTGTTTCACCATCAACCATGTTACAAGAACCACCAACTAATCACATCATGTACACCTCAATCCTCCTAGATAGCATACAAGTCCCTGCAAAAAATTGATGCAAAGTGACCTGATGATGAAAGATGGAAGTTTCTTGAAACATAATCCTTTCCACCTGTGCTACTTTTGTAAATTAATCTTCAAACACTTTCTCCACAAGTGTGCTAAACTAGTCAGTTGCAGCTCATCAAAAACAATTATAATTAATAAAGTTTATAATACCATAGATTATACTAGCTTATGCAAAAGTCATTTTTCTCTAAAAAAAACAACAACCAATTTTTAATAAAAGTACATCTCTTAGTAACAAATTTGAATGGCAGAGCTAATCAAGAGAGAAAAAATAATCAACTCAAAAATGTCAAGTAGCTTTTGCTTAATTCTGTATCATACTCATCGTACATACTTGTTTTCCATCAACTTCAATATCTGCTACATAGTTTTCAAATACTGTAGGCACATAGACCTCTGGAAACTGGTCTTTACTGAACACAATCAAAAGGCAGGTTTTACCACACGCTCCATCTCCAACAATAACTAATTTTTTTCGGATGGTTGCCATTGTCTGGGTGCAGTCTAAAACCAATGAAATAAATCAAGAAAATTAGTGTTCAATAGATTTGTTATAAAATCAGCCTATGTCCAAAAAAAGAAAAAAAAGAATTATAAATGTATAGTTTTCTTTTCTAGGATTACCATGCAAAGCACTACACACATACCTTAAAACTTAGTTCTCATTACATAACATGTTGGAACTATTTTCTAATGTAGTGAGGTTTCAGAGTACAATAAATAACATTAAGCAATGTACTTGCATGATAAATCTGATATTAGCTATATAACTTATAAAAAAACATATCTTAAACTGAATATCAGTTTATATTATTATTTTTAAAATATATGTAAATTTATATATCCATATATATAAAAGAGGAAGTTTGTTTATTTGTTTATTTTGTTCGCTGTAGGAAACGAAATGGTTGAACTTACAAATTTTAAAATAACTTGGTGCTATTTTTTTTTTGTTTGGTGTAGTATTTAATGATGCAATTGACAATTAATGATTATTGCGCCATTTTTTGTAATAAACATACAAACCTAAGCACGTTTTGCACATAGAAAGCATTATGGTGGGAGACACTCAGATAGGAAACCAAACGGTTGAACTTACAAATTTTAAAATAACTTCATAATAACCAGTTTTTACAAGAAATTTAATGGTGCTATTTTTTTATTTGGTGTAGTATTTAATGATGCAATTGACAATTAATGATTATTGCGCCATTTTTTGTAATAAACATACAAACCTAAGCAGGTTTTGCACATAGAAAGCATTATGGTGGGAGACACTCAGATCATCTTGCTGTCAATTCAGTATTTCCAGAAACAGTTTTCTTTAGATAGTGCTAAGTAGTTTCATAAGTGATTTAGTAATTTTGTGAATTGCAAATTATTGTTTAGTGATACAGGTGATTATGCCAAACAAGAAACGCCCTTTCTATGGAAAGTCTTTTGCCGCTAGAAGAATACAAGCACAAAGAGCAGCTGAAACAGAAGAAGAATGCAATCAAAGACTTCAAGCACAAGCTGCAAGATAGGCTAGGCTTATCAAATACAGGAAGAGACTTCAGAACAACGTAAAGTTAGCTGAAACAGAAGAAGAATGCAATCAAAGACTTCAAGCACAAGCTGCAAGATAGGCTAGGCTTATCAAATACAGGAAGAGACTTCAGAACAACGTAAAGTTAGACTTCGAGCTTAAGCTGAAAGGCAGGCTACTCAAAGACAGCAAGAAACTGTTGAACAGCACAAAGCCAGAGTTAAGTCAGAATCATCAAGGCAAGCTGGATATAGACAACAAGAAACTTCTGAACAACGTCAAACCAGACTTCAAGCACAAAAATTTAGGACAAATAACTTACAGAGAG